GAGAGAGAGAGAGAGAGAGAGAGAGAGAGAGAGAGAGAGAGAGAGAGAGAGAGAGAAGTCGTATTTAATGAATATTAAACACACACACACACACACACACACACACACACACACACACAGAGAGAGAGGTTGTAGGTTTTTCTTATGGATGTTCGTCTTGTTGACGGGTGCAGACCTAGAATGGAAGCTCATCTACGTTGGGTCGGCGGAAGACGAGCAATACGACCAGGTGCTTGAGAGCGTGCTCGTGGGCCCGGTAAACGAGGGAAGCTATCGGTTCGTGTTCCAGGTGCGAATACTGTGCCTCATCTGCCCTTGATGGAACCATCAATTACCGTGATTTACGTTGAAGCTTTTATGATGATTGTGCCGATCGAAGTTCTCTGGGATGGCAGAATGGTCGGTAGCTAAATGTGTGTGATAGTTCGAAACTGGTGTCATTCACAGCAAAATGCATTTCCTCTCTTCTGTAATGACCCATGCCGTCTGAGCAACCTGCATTTTTCTGATAAATTTTATTCCACTGGATCTGTTTGCTGGGTTTGATTTAGTTTGTTTTGGGGGTATGGTTGTGACCCCTGACGTGTTAGAGGGATAAGACAAAAATCCGAAACCTTATTGTTGCGGTTGGCTTACGAATATGTGAACAATTTGAAATGCTATGAGATGACAAAAATGCTCCATGTTCTTTTTTCCCTGAGGGGGATGAGATGGGTTATCAAGGGAGAATGGGGTGGGGTTGGTAGGGGGTACGTTTTCCTTGTTGTCGGCTGTTGAGGAGATGGATTGGGTGATGAAAGCTTGCAGAGAGTGCTGCTGACGTTGCCTCTCGTTTTGATTGCTTGCTTGTCTTTGATGTGTTGTGATCTGATGACATCATGGAAATTGCAGGCTGATGCGCCGAATCCCGCCAAGATTCCTGATCAGGATATAATTGGCGTGACTGTTCTTCTCTTAACCTGTTCCTACAGAGGCCAGGAGTTCATCAGAGTAGGCTACTATGTGAATAATGAGTATGTGGACGAGGAGGAGCTGAGAGAAAATCCCCCTCAGAAGGTTGTGATTGAGAAGGTTCAAAGGAATATCTTGGCTGACAAGCCACGAGTAACCAAGTTCCAAATCGTCTGGGACAATCTGTCGCCGCCAGTACCGCAGGTACCGCATAGATGGGACCAAGCTCCCACAGAGGAACAGCAGGCGCAACAGCAGATGATGTCGGCACCCAACCCCGTTCCACAGATGGTACCTCAGCATTGATTGTAGCAGTCTAGCGTCTTTTCCAATGAGTGGGTGCTGCCTCTGCTGCTGCCGTGTTAGGCTATTGAATATCTGACCCAGTGGCCTCTTCTTTGGCACGAGTTGCATTGTAACAGAGTGATTATACATCATAGGTAAGGGAGGGGGGCATATGTGGGGCATGCGAAGAGGGCAAAGGGCGTCTACAAAGAAAGATATGTCTGTGTTTCTGCATGGATGGTCTTTGTAGCGGCGGGCCGACTGTGGTTGTTGATGAATTGCCCAGTTTTTCAGATTTCCTTGATTGTCTTTGAAACCTGTCTCCCAGAGCCTTCCCCTCCTTTCCTGGGGATGCTACGAGAACGAGCTGATGGCAGGCATGAGGATGGATTTTTGAACTCTCCATACCCCCACTTCCTATGCTTGGTTTTGTTCCATTAGTTATTTCTAACTGTTGATGATGCGGTAGCGTGTGTTGGAGATGGTGGTAACCTGTTGGGAGAAGGCAGCATGCAACATGTATGCTTGGTTCCGGGAACCGTGAGATATGAAGTGGGTGTGTATATCAGATCCGTAGGTGCGCTGGCGAGCTTTTGCGCGAAGGATGGCTTTGTGGATCTGTGCCTCTGCGCTGCGGTTGGTGATCTGTCGAAGGTTGCTGGCCAAAGCCTTTCCACAGCTCTCTTCATTTCCAGTCTTCCACATGGTTGCGGACCTTGTTATCTTCAGCTTTTGTACTTGAGACAGAGGGTGCATGCCACCTTTTTGCTCTGATTGTTGTGTACATTGAATGTAGGAGCGGTCAACAAAGGGGAGGAGCGTGTGTGCCGGAGGGGCGGGGGGGGGGGGGGGGGGGGGGGAGGGAGTGGGAGGTTGAGATGCAGAGTGGGAGGGAGGAAAAAGATGCTGAAGAGGAGGGGAAAGAGTAGGGGAAGAAGGGGGGAAAGGGTGGGGGGCGAGGAGGATTTGCGTGCATGCTGAAGGACTGGGGATCTGGAGGAATAGGTGTAGGAAGAAGAACGTGCTATGCTAGTTTGATGTTGTACAGAGTGGGAAATTTACATTTTGATGTCCAGGTGCATGGAACGGGAGAAGAGGCGAAATGCACCTGGCATGGCCCTTCCTGCTTGAGGTTTTGGCTTTTCTCTAGGCACGGAGAGGAATGCAGCCACTGCTCTTTTCTCTGAGCCACTGTCTCTTCGTCAAAGAGGGGACTGACTATGAGCTTGGAGAGTAAGCGTTTGGGTAAAGAATGGAGAGGATGGGCACGGCAGTTGCCTTTGCTTATGAAGTTGCTCATCGGTTTGCTCCTTTTGCGTGTGGTGGTGGCCTGGAGTCCTGGCCTTGACAATAACCTAGAAGATTGCGGCTTACCTCAGATGAAACATGCCATGTGATTCTGTCCTCCAAGGTACAACTCTATTGTTTTGGGATCGGCAGTTTTCTTTTTTTGTAGTGTGTATTATGTATTGTTTTACGAACTTTTGCTGCTGCATGCCAAGTATTTGTGGATCGTTGAACACTAAGCAGGGGGGTTGATACCTCTTCTTTGTTGAGACCTCTTCTTTTTTTGGCACAGCTTTGTGCTTGCAAGTACTTTGTAACCTGCACTGAAAAATCATGATGGATGAGGTTCTGACAGCTGTGAGCAGAGCCTGCTGTGCTGTCTGTGTTATGCATTTGTTGCGTCAGGACAACGGTTGGGTTATGTTCGGTTTCCACAGTGTGCGGGTGGCGAATGGTGAGTTTGAGTGGCTCTTGCAAGGCAGTTTGAATGTGTCAATTGATTGAAGAATGATCCCAATTGTCGCCCTGAGGTCTGCGGTCGATGGGCGGGTGTGGGAGAGTGCATGAGCATGCCTGTGTGTGTGTGAAGGGTTGTGTGCATATTTTGCATGCCATGACACGTATTCCATGTCAGGCAGCGATCCGGCATGTAGGCCGCTGCATACCTCAAGACCGCCTTTTGCAGGAGGCGTTACCTAATGGCGATATAGAAACTGCTGCATTAGGCGATTACCGTGTCTAGCCCTTGGCCCCTACAACACCCTGGGCTTTTATTAAGAAAAGAAGAGGGAAAAAATAGGTGCAAGGAAAATGAGCAATAGCAAATTTCAGAAATCCAAGCAGAATCATACACGCGAGACCAGAAAGTCGTGACCTCGAACCAAAAGCAGAATTGCAACACGAGTTCCACCAAATAAGAGCACAGCAAAAGCTCACAAGTAACAATGTTGGAATAGTCTCATCATCATCAACAATGAACCAATTTCCAACATCCTATCTGGCACTCTGCGCCCAGACTACAAGTGGCAGATCCTATCTAGCCTATCTACAATGCCGCTGGTGACATCAACAGATCCCCGAAGTATGTGCAGATCTCGGCCAATGCCGTTCGCCTCAAGCACCAGGTATGTCTCTCGTATCACTCAGAACCTCGATCCCCCACTCACAGATGCCATGTGCTAAGGACCACCATGCGCCTCATCCAGCTATGCAGTGCAGCTCGGCTATGGCTGCCTGCTCTCCCTGCTCGCCTGCGAGCGTGTGAGCCTGGCCAACGGTTAGTGCAGCATAAATGGAAGTGGCCTGCCTGCTGTGTGCAACCTGGCTGCACCGGGCCCCGGCCCAGAAGCTTCCGGTAGGCACTGGAAGGCTGAGCCCCAGTCCGAACGAATCAGGCCCAGGGCCTGTGGCAGTTACCTGTGCCCAACTCTCCGCATCCTGTGTTGGGTCCATGTTGTGTATCTCGCCCACGGCCTGCCTCAGATACATTTCATAAAGCAGCCAGGGCCAGGGCGCTTTCAACCAACTGGTGCTGCACAACAGCCTGAATTTTCCCCAGTAGCAGGGTAGCCAAGAAATTAGGCCTTCTGGCCTTGGTCGGGCCTGCCTTCACTTTAGGGATGCCGACTGTGCTGCTTGCAGGGTCAAAAAGGGGCCCATTGGGGCTTTTTGCCTCACATTCCCTCCTCCATACTTCGACAGTCCTCTGACAAGTTCCATTACTCAAACTGGCGCTTTCCTTTCTGCAGTAACTTCTTGTAGTGAGCGACAGCCTGTGGAGTGGTCTGCATTAGTTCCTCCTGAGTAAACCATCTGTCCTCAGGATCAATGTGATGTCTGAATCGAACGCGATATTGCAGCTTCGGTTTCGGAGGACGTCCTCTGCCTGTTTGTCTTGGAACTGGCATTTCCATATGGTCCACGATGCTGTCGATGTCGACCTTTCCATTCATGGTTGGGGGCAGCATTGAGCGTCGCGGGGGAAACTGATCAGTTTCCTCGAAAGGTGCAAGCTTAGAGGTGTGGAAGACAGGGTAAGTGTGAAGGTGACCAGGAATCTGAACTACATACGACGGCCCATCAGGATCATCCCCGACGATATCTAAAACCTTCCAGGGTCCAAAGTACTGTGGCATGAGCTTGCGGGATATCCCGTGCTCTTGTCCCAGTTCTGAGGACTTGACCCAGACTCTGTCCCCTACCTGAAATGTGGATGGGCGGCGATGCCTGTTCTCCGACTCTATCATCACCGCCTGCGCTTTGTGCATCTGCTCTACAGCTTGCTGCATCAGGTGTTAGTATCGATATGCAAACTCTGAAGTGCCTGGTGCAGCAGAAGGCTAATTCTCAGGTAGTAGAAAATCCAAGGGCAGTCTAAGTTTGAAAGTCCGTAGCAGGCTGTTGGGGCTCACCCCTGTAGCACTGTGCACAGCGTTGTTGTACAGATTGGCGATGAGAGCAAGTTTCTCATCCCAGTCCACCTGATTGGGCTTGATATAATGCCTCAGCAGGTGTTGAACAGCATGGTTCAGCTGCTCTGCTTGTCCGTTTGCCTCTTTGTGGTCGCCGGAGGTCGTCTGAAGCTGTGTCCCTTGTTCTGCAGCTGCTGCCTTACACAGTTCACTGGTGAATCGCACATCCCGGTCACTAATGATGGACTTTGGCAACCCGAAGTCCCTGAACCAGTTCTCTTTGAACAGCTTAATCACGTACTCAGTATCGGAAGGGGTTTGAGAAGCCCAACAGGGGTCTGTGTACGTGGCTTGTCTCTTTGACACACCTGACAAGTCTCCACGTACAGCTCGGCGTCTCTCATCATTGTGGGTCACCAGAACCGCTGCAGCAAGTTAGCTGCAGTCTTTTTATAGCCAAAATGTCCTGTGGCATCGTGACACTGTCCTAAAAATAAACTATGCAAAGACTGTCGATTAGGCACACACAAATGTTTATTCCTGGCCTTCTCAAGGAAAAGCAGGTTGTTGACGAACTTTAACTCGGCAGAAGTCGCTTTGTCCTTCGCCTCCAGTCTGCGTATGATCTCAGCTATGAATGGATCCTCGCGATAGGCTTCCACCAAAGAACGAGTAACATCGTCCGCAAGCCCAAACTCAATGATCAGCGCACCGAGGAAGTCTGGCCTACGCGACAACGCATTAGCAACTTTGTTGTAGTCTCCTTTAATGTATTGAGATTCAAAGTCATTCTGCTCAACGACTTCGAAC